GCCTCCGCGGAGACACGGGCAGGCGGGAGCGCCGCCGGGGGCCGCCGTCCCCCAGTGCCAGCTCGGAGACGCAGTGAGGTCTGTGCACGACTCCGGGGCTGGAGGCTGAGACACGTGCGCTGCCACACGCCATTTCTTTGCGCAGAACGAGTGGCAAAAGGAAGGCCTTCGCCTTAAGGGAATCCGGAGCTGCCCTGTACAGCTGAGGGTCTGGGTTTGGAATAGCAGCTCGCTGGCTGGAGCTAGAAATGCTCCTAAGAAGTTGTGCTGCACTGCTACTAACAGAGGTTGTTAAAGAACAAGCATGAGATGTCTGTTTAGTCTGCCAGCTGAAGCTAGATCAAGGTCATTGATGCACAGTTACTTACTGCTTCCCAGTGAGTTCTGTGCAGTGCCATGCTGGCCAAGCACCATTTGAAGTAAAGGTTAGCTCAGGTCCTAGTCTGTCAAGGTCAGGAGAGTTAAATGATACTTATAGACTGACAGAGAATAAAGTCCCCTAAACAGGTTTAAAATTTAATCCAACTATGGAAGCATGTCAATGTTTAAATGCAGGCTACTTCACCTGTTTGTGCAGACGCTCAGCTAGTTATGTCTACTGAAGGTGGCCTCTGTCTTGAACTGAGAGGCACCCTCTTCCACTGCCCCATCCTTCTAACCTTTGTCACTCTGCTTCCCCTAAAACACTGGGGAATTCTTCCTCGCCCAGCCTTGGGAGAGCCATTCCCCACGCTGACCTAAAGGATTCCTTCCACTGGGCCAGACAGCCCTTTTATTCTCTGCAGTTGGACAGATACACTCGGTAATCAATTAACCCCTTCCTTACTGTTGCTTAATAGGTTTTTAAATCTCCTCTTCCATTATTAAATCAAACTTGGCTACTTCAGCCAATCAAGACATTGAGCTAGTTATAGAAAGGTCATTGAATTGCTGTTGTCTTTATTCCACTTATCAATGGCTGATTTTCATGATGACAGATCATCATTTCTCTATACTATAATCTGGCTGTTACAAGTGTAAGATTGTATTGTCAGCATTAATCTAATAGGAAAGAGAACTTTTAAGAACAATTGATAGCAACCTACAATAAACATGACCTTCCTTCCCCTGGGAATATTGTGTTTGTCAGCTGAAATATTAGTATCTTTCCTGATACATTCTTGATCTGCCAGAAATCAAAGGGAACGAGGCCCTGAGACTAGTGAAATCTCCAGAATTTGGAGAAGAATTTAATACTGCTTTCTCAAAACATAGCAGCAAATTAGGGGCAGAACCCAAACCAAAAAGGCTATAGCTACCAGAGGGAAAGCTTGTAGCATTGTGTGTCTTTTAGTTTTAATCCTCATACAGTCAGCCCTGCTGTATTGACTAATGTAAACTGGGAAATCAGCAAACCTTAGATTCATATCGCGCTCAATTTTTCTAACATCTCAATTCAGCATCTTACACAAGACTCACAAAACTGATTGAACTCTAGGGTTGATCTAAGAACGTATCTTTATAGTAAAGTTAGTTTTCACTGTATGTTTCCATATGCGCAGCAAGACCTGCGTCTAGCTGCTACTGCCTACTGTAAAGTCACTGTCAATTTCATTTCACTGATATTTAGAGGTGACCAATACCTTGTAGTTTCAGACTATTAGAAGCACATTGCTTGACATATTTCTAAATATTGGACTTGATCTTTACGACATTCCAGGAGAGCAGGAGTTGTCAAAACCTTTTAAGAGATTGATGTTATTATGGAATATATCAGTAATGGAGCGCTGGGGTTGTCAGCTGTTACCTCTTAGTGCTTGGCAGTTGCTGGTTTGAGGTCTGTTCCCCTGCTCATGTCTTCCTGCTGCCCTGGCTTGATCCCTCGTTTCCGGTCTGTGTTATGGTACATCCAGCCCTGGAAGTAAGTTCTGAAATGTGGTTATGGCACAATCCATGCACTACAGCTGATGTTCTGCTGCGGGAATCTAATGCTGCTGGGAACTTCAAATCCTTCATTTTCACAC